CATGAATGGAACGTTGGACATGTTTGCAGTCATTTCTATGTCTGACTTGAGTGCTTCAGCTGGTATATTGTCAGGTCTTTCTACCTTCCCATTCTTGATTTGTCTGATGGATATCCTGATTTCCTCGATCGTTTGTGGTGTGATATCTATGGGAAGATCTGTAGTTGCTGCTTTGATGTCCGATGGGTTCAGTGAAGCTGGTTTATTCAAAACTTCCTTGAAGTATTCTGCCTATCTGTCCTTCTGAACTTGAGCCTCGGTGGTTGTATTGCCTTCTTTGCCTTGACTGGTCTCCCTGGCTTATTATATCTTCCTGCCAGTTTCTTCGCTGTTTCATATTTCCCTCTCTTTCCGCTTCTTCCGCTGTTGTCCCTAGTTCTCCCACGTGTTTCTGCTTGTCAGCTTCAATGCTCTTCTTCACTTGCTTGTTTGCTTCTGTGTATTCAGTTTGTGCCTTGAGTTTTTCGGTTCACTAAAAATAGATTCATACGCCATTTATCTTGCAGCCCATATGAACCACTGGTTTGGAATGAGCGTTTTCTAACTCCTCCAAACGGATCCTGCCTATCCACTAACACCGTTAATTCGCCGGACATTCTATTTTCGTCTTCTCAATTTCTTAAACAACTGTAATACCACGAAAGGCAGTGAGTAGGCATTGGCTGTATACTCGTGGCCACGTGAAAGCGTTTCAAGAGGGGAAGCTGACTGTTCTTACTATTGGCCGTATCAGGGCATTTGGGGACAGGTAGAAAAATAGTGATCTCTCCTTAAACCACTTATGAACTAGTCAGATAAAATTGAATCATTTAATAAATCATTGAAGTTTCATTCGGTTTTATTTGAAAGTTACTTAGTTCACATTTATTACATTGCCTGTTTATGATTACATTCTGTCGTACTTCAGATATCAAATGTTTTTGTATTTAACAGTTGACTGGTTGAAAAAAGTAAAAAAAATCGATTCAACGAAGAGACCTGTCTTCAGAAAAGTACAATCTTTGTGATTAGTTACTCACATACAAATTCAAGCGAGCTCACTATGATCAAATAAAATATCCTTACAAAAATGACCACATTTTATGTGGTAGAAAATAGATTGTAGAGCTGTTAAGTAAACAAGTTAGTTGTTTTAGTTTGAAGATACTACAGGTATTTATACTTTGATAACACTTTAGCCAGTAACACCAGTAAATGAATCGTACCCGCCCGGTGAGATCAAAAGTCAGAAGCGATGAGGCTCGAATATATATTTGGTAAGCTATGAATATATTGGGAAGTGACTGGTCTAAACTGGCTAATTGTTGAAGGGGAAGCTGAGCATGGCGTTCCCAATCGCGATCTGGTTCGGATGAATGACCAAGCACTTTCAGCTAGGCTAGTCCACTAAAACTAATGTGGTCAGCATCAAATATCAAAGACTTACAGAGCTATTGATTGGAACATTGAGCAGTTTATTTTTTCTTAGCCTGTTTGTGTTTTGAGCTATACTACACATATACATATAGATATCTTAACCAATGTTGAAGTTCCTTAAACTTTTCATTCAGTGTAACTCTCTCCATTCATTTAAGCGATGGTCTAATCATCTCTACGACTGGGAATTACACAATCGTACTCCACAGACAAATTAGTCCAAAATATCTATGGATTGATTAAATACTGTTACATTGCTAATTGATTGCTTGTCAAGAAATGTTGTATAAGAACCCGAGAATAAAGGTCAGAGAGATGTATTTAACGATTAGATCTAATTGGAAATGAATAGCAAGCAAATGTGGTGGTTGTCAAACACTCAGAAAAAAAACTAATTACGTAGTCATTGTTTAAAAAGTTGAATAGATATCAAGTAGAGTTTAGGTCAAAACTTCTCCTTCTTTTCTTAGTTTGACTAGATTAACGCGTGTTACATTTAAATCTCTTATGTCTTCGATGATTTCCCTATTTCTGAAACATACCTAATTTGTTTGCATTATTTCTCATAACCTGTAATCAGATTATAAAACAGCGTTCATAAAGAGGCTTATATATACAACAGATACATTTATTTCTTTAGACAATGGAAGACAATATACAAAACATAGGTATTGTCAACTGGCTTAGTTTAATCACCTTGAGATGTGTACACTGAATGACAGAAAATCGTAAATCTATCACTTGTATTTACCACTAAGCGATTACGCAATAGTGATATCAACTCTAAAATGTTGTAATCGTGTTTCATTTGAATTTGATCCCATTAACTTGTTTCATCTTTCTGATTGATTTACCTACTGTTTAGTTTGTTTTACGTTCTATTCTTACTCGCTCCTCTTCCATTCTTTTGCATATTGTTTTATACTACTTATTTACATTCAGTAAATAGTTGTATTCCTGGCGATTTTTAAACTTATGTTGTTACACATGTTTGTCATGTAATAATCTGAAATATTTACGTATACTTATAACATTTATTGTACTCATTATTATAATTACTTGATATCAATCACTGTAGCAGTTATCCACGATTTCGTACACTTGTTTAAACGCAACGGGTTCCATATTTTAATAAATGTGATCATGAGTCAATTGAAGCTAGACCACTATGAAAAACCTGGAAGAACTGGACGGCCGTTTCGCCCTACTGTGGGACTCCGGAGCTGTGCGCATCCACGATCCTGCCTCGAAACATTCGAACCAAGGACCTATCAGCCTCCATATTGCTTGCTCTTGATTCAGGCTTTGTTTGTTGATAAACTGTAACCAAGTTTAGATACATCTATCAGCTGTCTTTTACATTATCGAAGCCCTTTTTATTTCATACAAAAAGATGCGTTAAACGCCTCAGGTACATCACAAGTTGGAGTTTGTCAATAATTTTTGTAAAATATTCAATAAAGAACTGCTATTTTAGACAAATCGTTGTTTTGCGAACATCGATTTTGCGCGTACCTTAATAGGATAACTTGGATGATTCGATAGACTTAACGCCTACACTGTTCATTAACTAATCTAAGTCAAAGTACAGGATAATATTTTTATTATTTTGATATACTATACTGATAGACCTGAATGAAGCAATCAAAACTAAGTTAACACCTCGTATATGTTTGCTTTAAATTAAAAGGTAGTGCTAGATAGCATGTATGGTTCCATGAAATAAGTAAAAAATTGGCAATATTAGATTTCTAAAATACTTGAAATCAATAAAAACATCTATTATATAATCAAACGATGAATAGGGCAATATGCTAGTGTTATATCACAACAAATACCTACTTCTGATGCAGATTGTATATTAGAGTATTCAATTTCATTTACTGTATAGTCAGAGATATTTGTGTAGCTCTATATGACATTCTCTTACTCTGACATCTGAATATAACTCTCCACTTAAAGTTTCTAAACAAAGAGATGGTATAACATCACTGCATTATAGTTGATGTTAGTTAGTGGTGAAAACCCTATAGGAAGTAAACTGAACCTTATTCTTTTACCATAATAAGTTATTACGTTAAGAATGATTAATCATATCAAAACCACTATTCTACTATAGTTATATTACGTTTAATCATTAGTCGTTTTATAATAAGGTAGTGCTTTCTAATTGGTTGATAAATCACTTATGATCATCCCCATAGTTATATTAAAACATATCACAACACAAATTGTCATCGTATTTCACACCATCACTGAAAAGTGAACTGAGCCATGTTAGTAGGTGTAGACTACGCGGGTCCACGAGACGATAGCAACCGATTGTTAGAGACCTTGAATGACATGGTTCGAAATAGTTTGCGATGGTGCAGGTGCATCCACTATTTGTGTTCTCCCAAATTCTAATCTCCTGAATTCTTTATGTCCCTTATTTTCTCTTTCCTAAATTATTTCACTGGATTATACTCCTTGAATAAAATCTTCGAACCCTAACCTTTCCGATTACTTTTTAACTTTTACTACCTCTACCACTATGGACTTTAAATCGACAATTGTATGTGTGTGGTAAAGGGGTATGGCAACTCGAACTGATGTACGTACGTAAGTACGAAGTTCTACGTCGTGACTGACTGATTGGTTATTTCACATATCTGTTATTTCTATTTGATCATACTAACCAATAAATCACCGATATTCGAACAACCAAGTCGATGATAGTTAACGTTTACACAAGCTTCTAAATTGTTGATTATCTTTTAACTGTGTGCCTTCCCTCTACATAGAACATACCTGTTACTTGAATTCACTAGGTGTTGTTTTACTTGTATCTTCCGCTTGTTATTTAAAACTGCAATTGATCAGTCTCATATTGGCATATGTGCATCCTGTGCGGATTGCCTCGATGTAAGCAAAGATGGAAAGTGGCTAGCAGTGGAATCCAGTTTGTCCTACTTGAGACTCGTCATCTGGATGTAACTGCATCCTAGAGTTGATGTTCTCTCGGGGACTCGAACCCAGTACCGTTTGCTTCAATCCACACAGGACGCACATATGTCAACATGAGACTGATCAATTGCAGTCCTAAATATCAATGAGAGGATACAAGTAAAACGACGTCAAGTGAACTTAAACTTCACCCCGTTACACAAACAGGTGGATATCAGTAATCAGTAGTCAAGTGGATAACGCGATGGTATTTAAAGAGAATGTTACTGGGTTTGAATCCCACAGTGAAAAACTATAAGATGTAGGCACATCCATTTGACGAGTCCCAGATAGGACGAAACGCGTGTCCCGAATTCTACTGCTAGCCACTATCGATCTTTGTTTAAATACCTATTACTTATTCTTGAAGTAAGATAAACTCTTTTACAACATAGTTTATCAAAATTGTTTTGAATTTTTGTAAGCAATGATGGATAGTGGCTAGCAGTGGAATCCAGGACAAAGCGTGTTTCGTCCTATTTAGGACTCGTCAACTGAATGTACCTGCATCTTAAACCTTAATGGGAAGAAACAGGTCAAACAATATCAAGTGAATTTGTTTAGAAAACTGAAATAAGAGCAATGATTTTTCAATTAGGATTAGTTTAATCCATATCAATCTTTTTATTTGATTTATACATTACACATGGCTAATTGATTGTTATACAATAACAATTTGCATATGAATCTTCGTTGGTACCAATTTTTCTTTGTTTTCCATAACTTATTTAAATGGTTTATAAGTTGATGCCATTTGTTTTAAACCTGTTTTACTAAGAAGTTGAAATTAATTAGAAAACAACGTTACTTACACAACATTCATATATACATCTTTACTTATATACTCATTCTTATTGTCTATAACTTTATCATATTGAAATACTCCTAATGTTTCTAAAGCATGCTGATATCGATCTGAAGGGATTGAGTTCTTTTCACATGGATCAAGCATTTTAAATATTGTTTCAGCATTTGTTTCAGTAAATAATGTTGGAGGTTCTGCATATTCATCACGTGAAGCTTTTAATAATTGTAATTGTTCAATTAAATATTGTTTTGGATTTTCTAAAATAATAATAAATTATTGATTAGAAATAACTTTACATTATGAGATCATAGTTAAAGATTAAACAGATGAATAACAATTGGAAAGAGCTGGGAAGGATTGCCCAGGACAGGGTTAGATGGAAAGTGCTAGTGTGCTGCGTATGCTTCTCCATAAGGAGAAAAGTTGTAGCTCTTCTAGAGTTACTGTCAGTCCCAATCCCGAGTAAAATGGGAGGGTTGAACATGGGGTTAGTTATCCCATCCTGTAGAAAACTAACTCTCTAAAAACACTCTAACCAGAATGGTAGGTGGCCTATGCTCCTTCACAAGGAGTAACAGGCATAATCACGTAAAGTTGTAAATTAACTCAATTCATACACATAAATACACAAAATGATGTTCGATGTAGAATCATAATGATGAAAATGAAAAGAAATTGATATAATCAGATCTATTTTAATTGAACTACATATTCTTTACTACTACTCTATACTGGTTAGCGTTTTTCTGGTTAATTTTTATAAATCGTCCTAGAAAAGAAGGCCCAGGACAGAGCGTTTTGGAGAATGCTGGTCGGCCGCCTATGCCCTATTAGGAATAACAGGCGTAAATAAGTAAGTAAGTACTATTCTAAACTGTCTAAACTTCTATTAATTTAGTCCGGTTACTTACATATTTTGAAGAAGCTACTTGAACAGAGATGAAAAACGTTAGAAAGCTGAATCACTTTTTATTGAAGTATGATGAGTATATCATTATTCTACTATTAATAGTGATAACTGTGCTTTATATGTAAAATCTCATAGACAGTACAGAATAATAAAGGATGGTAACTAAAAGGGAATTTTGCGTTTGTTTCGCCATCTGTTCCTTCTAATTTAGTTATTGTGACTTGATGCTTTCATACAATAGATATGCTACTTTTATAAACCTCACCGGTTTCACAGGATTACACGGATGGTAGATTTTTATCAAAACCATATAGATCATCAAAGATTTGGATGAGGACAATATCGCTTGATAGAAGTGATAGATATGATTCAAAATCGAATACAGTATATGTTTGAAAAAAGCATTATCAAGACAAATCATTCACAAACTCTTGATTCTCTTCACATTACTATTATCTAACTACAGCATGGTTTGCATTTCTAATTTGACTTGATCCAGTAAAGCATAACTTCATTACAAAGTCTTATAGGTTAGATTAAATGTGGTTTGAAATGGAATTCAAGACAAACGATTCGTTCTATATGGAACTCTTTAACTGGATACAGATACATATTTGTTTAAGTTTGCACCGCGAATATAACCCAGTGACTTTCAATTCGAACTCCAACACATTATTCAATGAGGTAATGAGTTTAGATATCCAATTACTTGTGCAACGGTTATGATATTTATATCATTATTAGAATGAGATAGAATTGTCCTTTTGTTGATACTGAGGTCAAAATTTTGACTTACTAATGGTATGATAAGAATCATACTCTTCACATGCCATTGATTACTCGGATTCAGTCATTTGAAGTACACTACTTAGCGATATAAAAATCAAAACAAATGTAGGTAAATCTCACTGATAAGTTCCAAGTAGTACAGAATGCGCATCTTTGATCCTGATGCTAGCCACAATCTACCTATTTTATACCTAGTCAATGCTCAAGGGATCTAATTATACCAATAAATACAGACTATTTCTTCCCATTCATTAAGTTGACTAAAGCAAGAACTAATGTAACAAAATAACATGATTTCACTACATTTCACATTTTCTGATCAGCGGCGTAAAACTTAAGCATGCTATTATTAATCCTCAAAAGTCAGGGTATATAGCACACATCATAATACCGAAAGAGTTATCGTCAATAAAAATTTATGAAGAGTTCCAGCATATGAGAAGCATGTTAATAAACGTTAATGACCACTAATTCGTCATCGACATATCCAGCTTGCAACGTTGTATCATTGTTTACTGATTTCATCACTGTCTGTTCTAGGTTTACCATGAAGATATCTGCCAGGATTGTGCCCTGTAGGCTACCCATATCCACTCCATCAATCTGACTATAGCTTTGCTTAAAAAGTTGTTCAATCGTACCAGAAGATTATATTCAGAAGATAAAATTGATGAGGAACCAACTATACCTTAACTTTGTTTACATAATAATGATTACCCTCAGAAATTCACAAACACGTACGGGGAGACTAAATGAAAGAAATGGAGTACGCTATATTTGGCAGAAAGCCTGACTTCCTAAGACTTAGCTTCAAGGGTGATAAAGCAGCTGAAAAAACGGAATTTAGGTTAAAAACCACAATAAAAATGACATGTCCAGCTACCAAACCGGTTATTCTGCATCAAGCAAATTACTCATTAAGGCAGTCATATGTGAACAAATTCCTACCTTGTATCGTTTCTAATTTCATATACCAGTTTACATGTACATCAGAAAAACAGAAAAGAGGGATATTGTCTGCATTGCAGGGCACATTCCATAAAAGGTTAGACTAAGATGAAAATACTTTTTCAGTAATGCAATCGCGCGCCTCCAGCTTGACAGTGGCCATGTTTTTGATTTTTCAAAGTTTTTCAAGATGAATAATGAGTAAAGAATGTCAAATCTAACGTGATCTACTGAAGCATTTGCTATCAAAAGACGTAAACCAAATTTAGGCATTTAGAAAGATGTAATTGTCAATTTTGTCTTGGTGAACTTGTTCATAAATGTTTTTTACTCAATCCTTCATTTTATGAATCTAATTATTAACTCATACTTCTTATCTAATATATACCCAGCTAGTTAATTTTTAAAAGTTATATGACTTAAACATTAATATATAAGTTCCAAGTACTTCTATCTCTAATTTCTTAGTTACTTACCCTAGAATATTCTTATATACAATTTATAAATGTTCACATTATCATATGAACATGTCTTATTGTTCTTTCTTACTTATTGTTCCTTTCACTGACTTTTATTGATGAGAAATCTTTCGGCATTATAATATGATGTATGTACACTGACTTTAATAAAGATTTATACTACTATGTTTAGACTGTAAGCAGTTGATCACAAACATTGAGGTATAATGAAACCATATTATTCTACTACAGTAGTTGTTCTAACTTTAGTCAAAAGACAGGGTAAATTTTGGTTCATATCAACAACGTAATACTTCAAAATTCACTAGTAATGAAATGAAACGAATGTACTTTAAAGGTCATACATTTTAATATTCAGATTAAATCCCGAAATCTCAGAGTTAAATTCAAAAGCCGGAACGCTGATTTCGATTTTAAATTGATAATTAATTTATCTGAAGCAGATTAACCGACAACTCTTTAAAAAGTTTGGGAAACGAGACAAAGTTGTTTTTAGGCACTTTGGTCACATGTAGTTAATGGAAAGACTTTAATTTTACTATAATAAATGGTTACAGAAAATTTTAATTGATAATCTCAAAACATTTTCTAATCTCCTTGGAAGTAAAAAGAGGGAATGAATTATAAATGTCAGCCATTGTCTAATAATAAAGAGCGATATTGCAAAAGGTAAACAGTTCACAGTTGCTGTGGTGTTTGAATGAACGAATGAGTCCTTTGTACTTGTTAAATGCTTGATTTTGAATTCCAGATACAGTATATTCGTTCGTGTTTATCAAGTAGTTCTTGATACACTTGCGTTATTTCAGGGATTTCTAGTTCATACTATAATTCAAATACTTCTTACAAGCACATTGGCGTCGAGATGGAGCCTGTGATGGAACGGTTGGACATACATTCAGATTTGATGCTTTTGAGGATTAATTGGAAAGGTTCGAAATCTGGGTTATGACCAAAGAAGATGATGAGGATGTTAATATTGTGGCACATTTCCTCCCACTCATCGGAAAAGAAGCATATAGCTTATTAAGAACTCTGGCTATACCGAGGAAGTCTATCTCTATTCCTTATACAGCTCTCAAGGAAATGCTACTAGACTGTGTTAAGTAGACAAAATTCGAACGCAATAAAGAAAGATTTTGTAAAGTGGTTCATGAGGATATAAAAAATTCTACTACATTACTACGTCATCCCAACCCAGTGCTTACTCAAGGCTATGCAGATAATTCATTGAGGAGTTGCAATGCATTTCACGAAGATGGGCATAAGTTTGGTCAATGTTTGTCCTGTAGCAGGTTCCACTCTTTTAATTAATGTAAATTTCGTAATTCCAAGTGCTTTAGATGTGGTGATATTGGACATATCCAGTCAGTTTGTAATACTACTGTTCATCTTGCTGCAACTAATTTTAAGTCTTGTAATTCTAATTCTATTAATTCCAGTGTTCCTAATGATCATTTATTTTTATCAAATATTTCAAAAGACAGTGTAGAGTCACATAGTAGTTCAGAGTTAAGTGAAACTCAGAATCCTTGTGAGACAACGATTTTTAATCAATCAATTTGTCAGAATTCTCATGTTATTGTACCAAATATGGTTTTTTCTAATGGTTCACATATTTGTCATTGAATTTCTTACAAATCTGAAGAAAGTATGTTGAGTGAACATAATTATGATTGAAAACCTGATGTAGTTTTGATAGATGATGATATTTCTAACGATCCTTTGCTCTGCAGTGACATCCCTAATAAATTTGAGAAAACTATTTCAGAAGAATCAAATTTTGATATAGTAAATATTACTTGTCCTCATAATGCCTCAATTTTTTGTGGGAAACTTGTTCAGTGCGAAGTACGAGTACTAAATGAGCTCGATTCTGATTATAATTCAGATTAATTTCATATCAACTGATGTTTATCCTTATTATAAAGTCACTTCCAATGTATACTCTAGTCGGTGTGAGAAATCTGTTTTAAATGAAGCCACATTATTAATAACTTGGGGATATGAAGATCCGACATTATTTAGTGAAGAAGGATAGTCTGAATGTCTATGGTTCAAATTCTAAGTAGCAGTAGTTTCAGTACTTAACCGACGTGGTGATTGTACAGGAAGCAAGTGAGTGTGTTCCGATTTCGGTTGTTAATTTTAATACTAATGAATGCATTCTATATTTTACAGAGCCTTTATCCAATAAACCGTCGGACAGACAAAAGATGAACTTAAAAAGAAAATGTACAATCAACCACAAACACTTCGACTCCGATTTAAGCTGTGGCGGATGTGGTGTTTGAATGGACTAATGATCCCTTTGTACTTGTTAAATGCTAGATTTTGAATCTCAAATATAGTACATTCGTTCGTGTTTATCGAGTAGTTCTTGATCCACTTGCGTTATTTCTGGGATTATTAGTTTGTACTATAATTCAAATACTCCTAATCAACACATTTGATCATTCAAGACTAACATGCTGATAAAGATCACAATAACCGAATGAAATAAGGAGTGCAAATGTGCTTGGTATTTAGTATTATAACAGCATAATTTATAAAACTGAATGGCATCGTGAAGTTTCAGTGAACACTAATAAACTAACGGAAAACTAATGCGATATTATGTCCAAAAGTTCAACGTCCATGTAAGATAAAAACACCAATTTAACACTGAGTTTATATAGAGTGAGGCAGCACTTACTTCCTATTGACAGGAGGCTAAAAATTCAAATATGAGAAGCGATAGGACTAGTTGACACACACATGCATTTGGTTACATAGTGGATTTGAGTGATTATATATATATATATATATATATATATATATATATATATATATATATATATATATATATATATATATTGAGGTCGATATTTTACGAATAGAATGGGTAGTAGATATGCTTACCTGGCATTCGGTAGAACAACGAAGAGGCCAAATTCTGAAACATTTCATCAATCTTATGCTCTTTAACATAGCGTTCGACCTCTAACTTCCTAGGACAATCCTGGCAAGTCATAGAATGCATTGGATAAATCACTTAAGTGAATTAATGGTTGTAAGATTTCAGGTTTTGTGTGGCAAGCAGTTCTTCTGTCTTCTGTGTTACGTTGGGTCTATGGTAAATTCGTGTTCAACCTGAAAGTCGTTAGTGAGAATTAAGAGGGAGATATAGCATAACAATTGGGAAGTTGACCCAAAAAAATCTATAAACAAATAGAGTGAGATTAGAATGGCAAAACTCAACAACAGGGCATGGCTGAGAACAAGAGAATCAGATAATTGTGACCATAGGCCAATAGAGCAAGATTACACCTGTGGAATATGCAGGGCTTGGTAAGATTGTGTCTAGCCTCAAAGAATAGTGTTGTGGGATATGAAAGGCCATGCATGATTAAGGTGATCAATAACTTAGTAAGAACATACTACACCTACATTATTATGGAAAGCAACTAAAAAATTCTAATAAGTTATTACATCGTCTAAAATTCCAGGCGAGTTATTACATACTAGATGACTTCTATAGACTTTCTCACGACTATTCCCGTGAAACATCAAAAACATAAACGTAAGACAATGAAAATTCGACAGTCAAAACACAAAATAGATATGATTATGTTTTGAATGTGGTAAATTGAATAATCAAATCACCACTTAGAATTACCTTAGGCGTTTCTAATGGAAACAACCTCAATGAGATGTCCAATATCCAAGACAATTGTCACGAGCTTGCATAAACTAATTAATATCTTTGCACTCTCCTCTTAATGTTTCGGTGCGATTTCAAGCATTTTTCAATGTCCAGAAGGGGTAGACTATTCATTCAATTTCACTAATTACAGTCAATTAGCCTCTGAGGTTTTTAGTATTTTAGACACAGCATCTAGACTCCAAATATCGATTAATGCTAGTCCACTAGAGACGGATGATAGTTCACCTTTCTTTGTGAACTGCCATCTCGAAGTATGTGGGAATGTTATGCCGAACGTTAAAAATGTTTTGTGATATATTTGCTTGGGAGTCAGGAGATTGTGTGGATAGATATTATTAGGCCATTACGGGAGCCAACCTGGGAAATGATTACATTCTAGTTACGGTTGATCACACTAGGCAATGATGACATGTGATTCTTCTAGAAAGTGTGGAATCTCAAACTTCAGCCAGAGCGGCATTCGACATATCGATCGCTTGTTAACATGAAATAGTTTATTTAGTTTGGAATTGTGGTGCAAAACTTGAATGTTTGTTCCTCAAACATGAATTTTTTAAGGAAGCGTTACACCTCCTCATGAAACGTACACAGAGAAAAGAGACTGACAGGTCACACACATTGGATCGTAAAGTCTATGGAAGGGTGTCATGTGTTAATCGAGTGTAAGATGACTTCTAATTCAATATTATCGTCACAAATGACAAATATGTCATCCATGGAATGACCAGCTGACCGAAATTTATTGATGCGTTCCTTTAGACAGAAAGAGAAATCTTAATCACTCTTTATGTTACTAAATACATTGGATATGTAGTACGTTTAACGACAGCAATGAAAGCGACAAAACTGCGAATAACGTTCGCTAGTAGGAACTTGTTTTCTGTATCCACAGACGATGACCTTCCTGTCTGGTCATTTCCATGTGTGTCTACCATTTCACCTGCTCTTGTGGAGCAGGGTGTATTGGCCGTAGCCAACGATCGCTTTCAACTCGGACACGGAAACATGACCCACTCTTGTTCGACAAGGGTGGCAAGAGAGCAGTTAGAAGTTCCATACTTGAACATATAATTGAAAGTAAACATTATACTGATCCTTAGTTTGATTTTAAAGCTGTATCTCCTATTCGTCCAACTCCTTAAAATAGCCGAAGCTCTTACCATCAATGAGCTCAAGACAGAACTATGCGTAAAAAACATATACGTCCTATTTTTGTCGTTACCTTAGACCTTAGTATTGTTATTATTACTTTATTGTCATTATTGCATTTCTTTCCTTACTTATATATCATATTCTCATTATTTCTTTCATAATTGCTGATTATATGACTTTCTTTTATTTCTACACCTTTATGACCCCTAATTATTTTAACAAAGGAATTTTAATCACCTTGCTACATTCACGCTATAATTATTCACTAACTTATTACTTCTATTGTTATCATCCGTATTACGTAATTAAGTTTTATGAGCCTTCTATCACATCAACTTGGTTATTCCTTTTCCACATTTCCTCACAGAACAAGTAAGTGAATGAAAAAATGTTCATATATATATATATATATATATATATATATATATATATAAATATATGATTTGATGTTTATTTATATATATGTATATGTATACGATATATAAAATTCATCGAAAAAAGACCCTTTCGCTAAACTCTATGTTTTCAATGTTTGAATGGGAATTATCTGTCAATTATGTACGTGGTGTGTCTGAAGCATTAGTGTTCAGTAATTCATGAGTGAGTTTGACTAGTCCTTTAAGGGCGAATAAAATAATCATAGGTATTGGCGAATCAGTCAATAATATTTTAATTACCCATTCACTAACTAAGACCTACCTAATTTCAAACAAGCTATCACTATCGTTATAAGTGTTTGAATGTCAGATCTGTGGATGCCTCAGACTTTCATATAAATTTTAATGACCGTTCGTTGATTCATTGAGCTTAATCTTTGCCACTGATGGGTAGACATGTGTGTTGGGGGTAATAGATCCCCAGAACTTACTTGGCAAATGTCTTAATTTTATGATTTTATTTTGGAAATTTAAAATCCCTTGTTTTTGCTCCAAAAGCGCTCTTTCCACCTTCATGTCGTATTTCTCACTTAGGAGCATCTTTAACGCTATTGGTCCGTTGTATATTTTTAGTATGCTGTTTTTGCAACGCTTGTCAAAGACAGTTTTATGCTGTACATATATGGTTGAGTTGTGTCTGTTATTATTCACTTGTGCTTCTGGCTTACGGAATATACATTCCGCTTCCAAGCTTTGACTTCTTCCTCCGGTTAGCAAGGCTGAGACGCATCAAACAGGTAGCTTATTGGTCTACGGTCACAAGTCTTTGTTCCGTTCGCATACTATGTGAACTCGTAATAGCTTCAAACCTAGCAATGTGTTACTTATCTTTGTAATTGGTCGTAATACTTCCATTGTTATATTGATTCTAAATTGCGTTTAGTAAGCAGATTTTAATCGTTAGGTGTACGTAGTGGCACTATATTCCATCCGCTAACGTATACAAAAAGTTACATGGGTATCACCGGACCACACCAGAGAGAACCAGGTAGATCATATTTGCATCACCAACATTTTTTGAAGGGCAATAGAAGACATGGGGATTGGGAGAGAAGCTTACATAACATCACGTTACCACTTGTTGGTTGTCACGATAAAGTAGCATTGGACAACTGGAGAAACAGCGTTATAAATGTTCCATACAGCCTTCCTTTGAACTACTGAAAAACTCAACGATTTCAAGATAACTCCTATCAAAAGGTTCCAAGCATTACATGATCTACTTAGAGAAGGGGAAAATACTCTGAAGAACAATTGAAAAGTGATTAGTGGAGCACTAACGTCAACGTGTCAAGAAGTGCTAATCACAAGAAACATCATCATATGGAATGGATATCTGTGGAAACCTTGGACAAGGTTTAAGGTAGGAAGAACAATAAAACATCAAATAACAACAACCGAACGATAACAGAGAAAGTCAAGGTAAAGACAGAATACACACAAGTAAACAAGAGAATGAAGATAAACATTAGAGCTGATAAGCAAAAATAAGTAGAAGACCTAATAATTACAGCGGAAAGGCTTTAAGAGAAGGAAATATGCAGCAACCACATGACACAGTAAATGGAAATTCGCTCTCTTTGCAGGCGTCTCTTCTTTCTTCCCTTCTACTTTATTTACGTCAATGTTTGGACTAACTAGAATACTCTCCAGTTATAGCAAAACTTATTATTTACATGAATTCTATAACCCTTGGACAGAGTCATTCCTTACATTAAGACGAAATACCCTTCAATTACTCATTAAGACCACTTCTAATCTATGACACTTCCTTTACCAGACGGAGTTTGTTCTTAGAAAAATTCTCTAAGGTGAGAAATTAGAGGCCGAGAACCAGTTTAGTGAATCCCAGTTCACCACAACGATTATTGCGACGGTAGCCTCAGCTCGCCTCAAGGAGACTCTCCGTCTACATTTCAAAGGCAGAACATCCACTTATGAGCAAATTTTAAGTTTACGCTTCAATCCCAACCTTCCAGCCCAGGTGACTGAAGCCTCCTCAATGGAAAATTTTAGAAAAGGACACCATAACTATGAGCGCCATGGTGTATTAAATATATTCTTTTGAGACATAATCTGACTACACTTGATTTTGCAGTGATACGCTCTGTGCTTTTCAGCATGTATACATGACGTCTCATTTACATCCACTATTATTACTCGTCTCTTCAAAAGAGACCCAAATCCCTTTGATTAAGTGCAGAAACGAGAGACTCAGTGGACGATGAAGCTGTGAAACAAATCCAATGAAAAGGGACTCCGACACCCAAGGATATTTCCTCTGTGCTATAGGGACGAAGAACTAACCTTCAGACGGAACATGACATATTCAGTGCGCTAGGTCGCTTCAACACGAACATCCTAAAACAACACCATCATCATTCCTTCTGACAAAATCATTGAAAAATTCCATGTCAAAAAGCAAAAGCTCATATGTGCCCCTGATTTTTCTCATTGGGAATTGCTCCTATCTGCCTTGTTCGTTGTGACCACAGACTACTCAGTGGATAGCCCTAAGAGGTGACTTAAAAAGCACTTACTGACTAATGGCTTATTATTTTACACTAAGACTATCTGTACTTGACGCATGTCTCGTTGCCCACCTACTGTTACGATTACATGTCACTGACTTATTCTTATCCCGGTTATTATCGTCTTCGTTTCCCCTTTTGTTCTCAAACTTCAGTCTTACCACACTGTCTGCATTACCGTTCCGTTACCTTGTGTAATTATCAATCCACTTATTGAGACAACGGTCTTCTCTTACCTTTTCTGAATTTGGATTTTCTCTTCATTACTTTTCACAGTGCAAACAACCAACCAAACTATAGCCTGGTAAT